GTACATTACTTTTGTCATCTGTCATATATTTTTAATATTTTTATTGTATGTAACGTCTAATGATGTCCAGGAAGAGTAGCCGGGTGTAAGGCCCAGCTAATTGGGATCCTAAACAATAAATAATTCTTTACAGTGTTTCAAACTGTCACTCTAAAACATGAGGTTAGAATCATAAACAGCATGAGTTATAGTGGATTGAGAATTTTAAGCGCTTTTCTCCCCTCATTTTTAGAATCCAAAAAATGAGTTGATGTCTTTTGTTTTCTCTTTTTATCATGTGCTTAATAAAGCTCCTGTGACAAGAAAAAAAATCTGAACAGGAAATGAGGAATATGAGGTGAAAATTCAATTTCCCAAGCCCTCATCTCTCTGTCAGGAAAAAAGGCCAAGTGATTACAGGTAAAGTGACGGCTGATGTCATGGCAGTCAGGTTCATTTAGGAGGTTCGTCACTCCTCGAACCTCTGCAGCTGCTGCAGTGGAGGAAATGAATGACTTTTTTTTTCCTGAGATAGGCCACTGGGAGGCAATTCAAGATAAGAACCGACTCTTTCTCGGGGACACTTTAGAGTCGGGAAGGGAAATGGTTACAAGCATGAAGGAAGCGGCTGGGAGAACTTGTCAGGTGTTAGCCCAACAGTTCTGCTTGAGTAGCTCATCTCAGTCCGTAAGCATGCATTTACGACGTCTTTACAAATGAGCATTCACTGAACCACCTGCTAAGTCTTTGTGATTACAAGTGCTGTGACAAAATAAAAAAAAGGTTTTACACGAGTTAAATGGTGCGTGCAGGAGTTCCACTAGATGACCATTATGTTGTCAGAGTCTGTCAGTTCTGCTTCAACAGATGACAAAATGGAAAAATTGAGCTGATTAACAGGTTTAAATCTTTGTAGTTGGAATTTGCCAGAATTGACATGATTTTTTTTTTATTTATTCTTTTTGCATCCTGGTCACTTTGATATTTTTTGATGAAGAGAGCTGACGATGAAGAAGAAAGCAGCTCACAGAAGGCTCTGAGTCATGACTGTTTCACTGCCAGAAGTGGTGTTTTTTTTATGCCTGCAGAAATTCAAATACATGAGCTCTGAAACCTTTTCTTTTCTCCTCTCAGATGTCACTCTCTGCATTCAGCGCTGCCTGTCCAACTAAACATAAAAAAGGTCTTTGCAAAAATGGATGTTTGATTTGCTTCACAAAGTCAAGGCTGCTTGCTGAAGTGAATAACACAGAGACGAGGAACATTTTTGAAATGCCTCTTGAATCAGCCCAGCAAACATTACATTCAGTCCTTTTTCTCCCTCGGAGCTGAAAAGATCTGATGTTTCACCTTGCCTTCAGTACGAAGCGTCCCCAGCTGGGGGTGGCATTGAGGGGTGGGGTGGGAGACAGAAAGTAGAAGTGGTAGATTAGGAAACAGTTACGAGCTGTCAGCGGCCTCCTCCCCTTCCCTATTTATGCATCTCTTCCTCCTCACCCGTCCTCCCCCTCCGGCCCCACGGAACAAGCACATCAGAGCCACACAGCCGGCGATGGTTTCTCACATTGTGGATTTCTTGTTATGATTTCTGTCTGTGTTAAGTGTTTTTATGTTTTGTTTCTGTCATGTTCATGTTTCCTTCCTCCTGTCTTGCCCTTGCTCCAGCCCCACCTACTCACACCTGATCCTCATGTGTCTCCCTCAGGTGTTTGTTGTTAGTAATTGTTGTCTGTGTATTTAAGCCCAGTCTTGTCACTGTGTCTTTGTCTGATCATTGTTTGTTAGTTTGTATGTCCATGTTTAGACTCCTGTTCTGCTCTAGCTTTCTGGTTCCTGATTTTTGTTATTTATCTGTTTTTGCCACCACGTTGGCTTTTTATTTAATAAATTTTGTTAAACTTTCTTGTCTTGCCTGCCTGCCTGCATTTGGGTTCACCCTGCCTCACACCCATAACATTTCTGTTAAATGCACAAAACAAGTAAGTGTAAGGACTCCTTTGAGCCCAAACCAAACATAAAATGGTTATCTTGAACTATAGAGCAGTTCAAAAGAGTTTACTCTAGTAGTTTCCCAGATGTATTTATGAGGGTACACTCAATGTAAACAAACTTAGCTGAATCCACCAAAACCCATGTGAAACCTTGGGTCAGATTGGCTGGCTTTATTCTGAAAGAAAAAAAAACATGATGGAATCGGACAAGCATAGAATTTGTTTAGATGTAAATATAAAAGTAAATCGGCTGGTAAACACAAATGAAAATAAAATAAAACACCAAACATCGTGGACATTACTGACCTATTTTCAGTCACTTTGCCTCTTTTTGTATGAAAGCAAACTGTTGTGGTAGCTGGCAACCATGCAGTCACAAATATTGCAGACCGGATGTGGGCCAGGTCTGGCAATGATGCATTTAAGATGGCGTGCCATAACTGGCCCAGACGTGGTTTGGTTTATGTGGTGCTGTCCCATGCATGGACCACCTCTGATAAACCACACCTGGGCCACCAATGGGGAATCATTCTTTGTGTGGGACGAGTGCATTGTGTGGGCTAGAACCGGACTGGACACATTTTACTATGTGGGTTGCTTCCATATCTTTATTATAAGGACACATCAGTCATTATGAGAAAATAAATGTGCAGATTTTGTTTCTTAAAAGGTGATTTTTGTGACRGGTCTTTATAACATTGTAATTAAAATCTTTAACGTATTTTAATATGAAGCGCCAGCAAATCATAAATACAATTTAGATCCAATCCGTCAATTCCTTTTTTAATTAAAATAGAAAACAGTCATACATAATAATAATACATAATAGTCATACATATTAGAGCTAAATGGTAAAAAAAAAAAACGCATTAATCTAAGGAAGAAGGCAGATTGTGTTAAATCTTCACTTTATTACAACCCATCATTCTGAGCCACACATTGGTGACAGTGGAAAGAAACAACTTCCTTTTAACAAGAAAAAACCTCCAGCAGAACCTGACTTAGAGTTAGGGTCAGGATGTTTGTTCTTTGTTCATCGGCCTCTATTGGTTTTGATCAGAGTCAGAGAAAAAAAAAGAGACAGACAAACACAGATTCGTTGGTTCAAGTGTGGTTTCTACAAGCAGAAAGACAGAAAAATACAAGTAAAGATTGAGAAATGTGGTCATTTTGTCCTCCAGCTGTCTCAGCCTATACCAGCAGAACTATGGGATAACTCAGRAAACCAACCGTATAGGATTTATCAAAAAGGGAAGTCTTTAGCAAAGCCTCAAAGTAGACAGAGTGTCAGCCTCACAGACAGACACAGGAAGTTGGTTTCAGAGAAGTCTGAGAACAATACAGAACAATAAGATTTTTAAAGGAGCAATATTATGTGTTTCTCAGACATGTATTTAAATTCTATACCATAATAAAGTAATTATGTCACCTTCAGTTGTTATTAAAATGTTTATATGTTTAAATAGAAAATAAACTTGACTTCTGATCATGTCTGTTTTTAAACGCCTTGAAATTGGCCTCTGTCTCTTTAAGAACCTCCTTCCACTTCTGTCCCACCCATTTCAGCACGGGGCTGGGTGTGTGTGTGTGTGTGTGTTCTCTGTGATAAGGAAGCTCAGCTTGGAGACACAGTCCAGAGGAGGAGCTGGTTCCAAAAAGCGGTTCTATGTCCAAACAGACGTTTTTGCTGCCCTGCCTGGCTGCCACAGGACTTTCTCAAACATGTATGAATGAGACAAAGTAAGACTCTGGGCATGTTTTTGATGAGAGGATAACATTATAACATGATATAAAACTCAAAAAAGTTAATTGTACATGATATTGCCCTTTTGATATAAGATGGAGCTTGGTTGTTGCACAGTGGATTTGACAGGAAGCCACTGGAAAGAAGCTTCTACTTTTCATCACAACTCAAGCAGAACATTTAAGATGAACTAAAAACTTTACAGAGGGGCCATAAGTTTTTCTGTGTTCTTTTTTGATTTTTATTTTAGTGATATTGTGCAGATGTAAGAAAGCTATCCTGGTAACATTTAATCTGGTGAACATGTCTTTATGGATATGAGTGTTTCTTCTTTGAGGGACCTGCTTTTGACTGATTGTGGAAGATCAAGGTTAAATGAGCTGTATAATGGTGTGCTCATGTGGAGAATCAGTCAGTCACTTGTCATATTTATTCTGAAACCCTAATGGAGGTGAAAGGAGAYCACTAAGTGTTGAGAATTTAGGAGAAGCTTTCATGAGCTACGGTTTTAGGTATTCAAGGATCTGCTTTTTTATATCTGCCTCTTAAATAACGCTAATACAACTGTGATTAAAACAATGGAGCTCAGGCCGTCCGCCACCTTCAAACGTCAAAGAGAAGTCAAGAAGAAGTTGTGGTCTGTCCGTGCTGAAATGTTCTGTCACAAGAGATCAGCGTCACACTTGGGTTTTGCCAAATCTTGTTTTTATTCATTGTTACCACGATGCTGTGTTGCTAAGTGTTATGTTTTCCACATGATGCATGTAATTTGGAGGAGAGCACTGCTAAGTGTAATAATTACACAGCTGCACAGAACAGGAAACAAACTACAGAATGCTCCTGACCCACATCTGCAGCAAACAGATAAACAGTGAAGGGTGTTCAGAAA